ATGCCTTCAAAAGAAAAAAACTGCCTTTAATGTCACTAGGTCGATCATCGTTCGGTCACGTGTATCAAGCACTTTTTGACTTCAAAAACAATTAAGGCCCGCTATTTCTCCACCAGACTAGTAATTAAAAAACTATATCAATACACAACACCGAACACTACATATCCGTCAAAAAGTAAGTAGATTATTTTGTATTCCCGTTTTCCATCGTCAGAAAATTCATAAATTTCTTTTTGAAACCCAAGTTAGAACATCTACAAAAGACGAAGCGTTTGTCAAAGGATTTAAGCCGATCGACACCGTATGTTGGTAAACATAATGTCCAAAAATAATTGCAGAAGAGTTCTCACCGGTTTTCGGATTGCCTGTCCGTCATATGGATCCCAGAACTGATATGCCTCCTTAAAGTACACAGTAATAATCCATATTGACAAATAAGAAAACCCAACTTCCCTTGAAGTAAAATTATTTTAAAGTCACCTACGCTGTTAACGAAACTAAATACCTACAAATAAGCCCAACCACCTTTCTTTGACAACGACTTCCCATTAATCAGAAACGCTAACCTTACTGGAAAGCAAGATTTAAAAAAATCAAGAGGGCAGCGTCATCACAGACAAATAATTCATCCAAAACTTCAAATATCCTACTAATACCTACCGAAAACCATCTAAAATCATAACAAAAATGCAGCTTCAAGGGCTGCAGTCTCATGCTTGAAACTGGTGCGAAAGTCCTCGCGCAAATCTAGCCAGCAGATGATAATAACCGTGTAAACAGGAACTGATAAAAAAAATCTTCATTAGTTTCAGCAAATAAACAAGTGATGAGGAAAGCAAAGCTGATAATCATCAATCACTGAAATGCCAAAAAAAGAGCAGATAGCCAGATAATTATGTTTTGAGCGAACATAAAAGCAACTTCATCAAAACGTAAAAATAAGAAAAATAAAACAGCACTTTGTGCCAGAAATACCTATCAGATTTACTAGTACCATGAAAAAAAAAATGTAAAACTGATGAGGAGAAACAAAAGTAGAAAAATGGTAAATTGTCAGTAAAGTTAAATAATGGCATTAGGCCTCTATCACATTATATTGAATCAAAGATAGTCTCACAACAATCACAGGAATGATACTTTTTTTTGAAACCAATTATTGTCCTAAAGACTTCATATTAACATTACAGAAACATGTAAAGCGCCAGCACAAACTTTTATCAAAGCATAAAAATTCAATTGCAAATGATCACTAATAACTGTTAATACTGCTATTTTCCAACAGCACATTACACTCACCCTCTTTCACTAAAAAAATAAACTTCAACGAAATAGTGAGCAATTTACTAGAGTAGTAATAAAACTAAGAAGGGACTCGATTTATAGAGAGCTTAGAAAAAAATTGTAGAGGAGCGAGTATGATAAACAAAAAATGACTAACAAAGAACTATAAAAAAAATTATCCGACTGTCCAAGAACTGTGTGTTGAGGCAGAACCACAAAGTATTGCACAACCCTCTTCGAAATGCCGTACAAAAATGAGGGAAACCAGTGGCAGGTACTTCCAACCAAGGACAGAAACAAAAAAAATAAAATCGAAAACAGCGACGTCCAGTGGCCTTACCTCTGCAATAAATTTCAAGAGAGAAATGAGAAATAAACAGTGAGAAGAAATTTACTCCTGAAGTTCGACTCATCAAAGATACATCGTTTACCGGTTCTGTTAGCTCTCACAAACGAAAAGTAGATCAAACAGTTAATTTGCAAAAACTTATAGTAATAATAATATTACACGATAAAGTGCTCAAAAGAATAAAATTAAACATATCCGTCATATAATCCGAAGTTGACCAAGTTTTCAGATAAAACTGTACAAGCTGCAACAGATGCATGCTTTAAAGTGACTAACTAATGCTCTGAAAGTTCCTTTTGCGGCAATAGAGTAAAGAAATCATTAATTAATAAAAGAAAAAAGCATCAGAAGAATTGAAAAGAAATTTACCCGCAGCAGAAGTTGCTCAAAAAAAGATCCAAGGTTCAGCTTATTTAAAAAAATGACGCACATACTCTCCATACCAAAAACTTATTACCTTTAACTCTAAACTAATCACTTAAAATCAATAAGACTAGGAATACCATAACTGACTACTACTGGAAAGAAATTCAGCAGTAATCACAACTACCAAAACTGATAAAAACATTTATAAAGACTAAATCAAGAATGGAGATTAATCATTGAAAAAAAAAAGCTTTCTTCAAAACTACCTAAACAACTTACGAAGCGCGAGGACTACTACTCTGTAATGGATTAAACAGACGAGCTATCTTCTCTTCCCTGTGATCCGCTAGATGTCGGTTTCTTATTAAAAAAAACGTGCAGTTAAGAAAACTGCAAAACGAACAAGAAGAATATTCACAACCCAAAGACAACTTTTTTGATACATACAGTTAGAATAAAATTAAGATAATAAAGTCTCAGGCGCTGCTGCTGCATCTTATTCTTTAGTTACCAACAAGAGCTACATAATACTCTTCGAAAAACGAACTCAGTGCGACAATATCAAAGTAGCTATTTTTTTCCACTCGTACACCGTTTTTTTCGTCAATTTACTTATTAAACAAACGTTAACCTGTATTTTTAAAAATGTAGCGTTCATAACTTTTTAACAACAGATTTTCAGCACACTAAGTTAAAGATCTGAATTAAAAATTCAAATGATTGGTTACCTTGATATTTTTTAGCAAAAGAACTTATTCTTATGGAAATATAACTGGAAAATTAAAAGAAACCCAGAAATAAAAAAAAAATCAAAAGAGAAAGGAGATAAGTTTTTTAAAAAAGAACACATTTACCGATCCTTCAATTTTTATCGAATCGACCATGATGTTCCCTCTGACGCACAAAATACTCGCCCTTTCAATTGGCATTCTAAACAGAAAATCAGCTAGATGTCTTCCATTTACCGCAATCTGAAAAGTTTCTTA